TAAAGTTTATTTATTTAGTGTGTGTGTGTGTGTGTGTGTGTGTGTGTGGCCAGCTCAGCCCACCAGGGGGCGGGGCTGGCTGGCATGTGGTGCTGGGGGATTGAACTGCGGTCCCTGTGCTTTGCTAAGCTTGTTCTAAGTAGGTGCTTTAGACCACTGAGCCATCTCTCCAGCCCTGCTGTGGTTATTCTTAAAAGGTAAATCTGAACATAGACTCTTAAACCTTATCAATGAACTCTCCATTCTGTTTTTAGTCTATTTTGCACTCTAAATTGGTCTTTTACCCATATATGATTTCACAATACAATGAGTTGGGCCAGAGATGAAGCTCACCTGACAGGCACAAGGTCCCAAGTTTGATTCCAGGTACCCAATAAACGAACAAACAAACAAGCAACAAGGTCATCATATGAAAACTACTGGCACACTAAGCTTTCATACAGATCTTCAAAGTGTTGGCTTATCTCTTTACATCAAAAAGACCTATTTATTAATATCACCACCCATCTCAGAAAAATGTAAGTATTAAGAAGCTTTTCTGTGTGTATGTGAGACAGAGAGACAGACAGACAGACAGAGACACAGACAGAGACACAGACAGACACACAGACAGACACACAGACAGACACACAGACACAGACGGACAAAACTCACCATGCAGTTCAGGCTGACTTTAAACTTACTATACAGGATGGCATGGAACTCAACAGATCATTCTGCTTCAGCTTCCAGAGCACTGAGATTACCAGTGTGTGATACTAGGAAGGCTGAGGCAGGAGGATCTTCCTGAGTTCTACACCAGCCTGGGCTACATGGTGAACTCAAGATCAGCCTGAACTGCACAGTGAGACCCTGTCTTTAAAAAAAAAAAAAAAAAAGCAGCAGCTTTAATTGTTTTACTACAAAGGGCACATTTTAATTAGCAAGAAACAGATTCAAGTGACAAGCTCATTTTTTGCCTAAATATGTCTCTTAATACATAAAGTGTCAAAAACCATATTTTGTCAGTTCTTTCAAATAAAAATGTTTTATGGAAATAGTCTAGTTCAGCCTGCAACTCACAACTGAAAACAGTAGTTTTCTTCAAAGCCAATTATCTTCTTTTGGTATGCAGCACAAATGCTTTATACTTTCCTGTTGGTACATTCCAGTAATCTCATCTCTTGAGAGGCTAAAGCAGGCCAGCCCAGGCAACCTAGTGAGATCCTGTCTCAAACTAAAAAATGGTACAATCCCCAGTATGAAAAAGTAAATAAAAGATGTCCCAAAGAACATTATAAAGACACGCAGGGGGAACTGCAAACCGAAACCACAGTGAGGAGCTAGGGATATAGCTCAAGTGGTACAGTGTTTACTTAGCATGCATGAGCCCCTGGGTTAAATCTCTAGTACAACAAAACTAAAACCAAACCAAGAGATACCACTTCACACCTACTAGAATGGCTATTAAAAAATGATCAGATGCCAGGTGTGATGGCACACACTTAAAATCTTAGCACTCAGGTGGCTGACGCAGGATGATTACTGCAAGCCCGCGGTCAACCAGGGATACTTTTAGAGTTCAAAGCCAGCCTGGATTACACAATGAGACCATCCTTATCTTAAAAACAAAACTTAATTAATTGAAAAGTCAGGGAGTGAGTATAGCCCAGCGGGACAGCAACAACCTAATGTGGCAGGGCTCTACGTTCAACCCCCAACACTATCAAAAGAAAAGAGGGGAAAAAAAAAAGTCTGTAATAATCATTGTTGGCAATACAGAGAAACAGGAAGCCTCATATACTGCTGGTGAGAATGTAAAATAGCGTAGTCTTTGGAAAAACCATTTGGCAATTCCTCCAAAACTTAACCAATGGACCAATGATGTAGCTCACCAGCACAGCACCTACCTGGCAAGTGCAAGATCTTTGAGTGCCATTACTCGCACCACCCCTAACCCCCCCCAAAAAAAACCTTAAACATAGAATTACCATGAAACCAAGCACTCCGTGGGTACCTAGGTGTACATTCAAGAAACTACACATCTCCACCAAAAAAAAAAAAAAAAAACATTCACAGGATATTTGTTCTAATAGTCAAAAGATAGAAACAATCCAAATTTTATTTATTTATTTATTTATTTTTATTTAGGACAGGGTGTACAGGGTCTCATTGCATAGATCAGACTCATAGTGATCCTCCTGTTTATAGCCTCCTAAGTGCTGGGATTACAGGGGTGCAGCAGCACACCCAGTCTCAATTGCCTGCTCAGTGGGGGGGGGGCAGGGGGTGAGTGAACTCAAAACTCCTAGCCCCTGTCTGCCTAAGCAGGGGCTTAAATCGGCTGAGCTATTTGGCCGGCCCCCAAATGTTTAGCAACAGAAAGATAAATATTGGTATATAATGGAATATTACTGGTGATAAAAGGAAATGAGGTACTGATACATGCTTCAACATGTATAACCTTGAAAACATAACAATACATGAATGGCAAACATAGAACTAGCAGGCAAATCCAAGAGATAGAAAGTAGATTAGAGGTTGTCAAGGGGCAGAAGGGAGGGGAGAATTATGAATGCCTGCTAATAGGTACAGCTTTCTTTTTGGGAGTGATGAAAATGCTCTAAAATTAGTGATGATGGTTGTATAATAGAAGTCACTATAATTTAAAATTACTGAATTACATGCATTACAGGGGAAATTTTATGGTATGTGAATTATATCCCCCAAAAAGCCATTTTTTAAAAAAAGATACAGAAATTAAGGGCCAGTATTTAGTAAAAATGACCATTTTTACTGGTTCATTTAAATCATTATTTGTAAAACTGAGTTTTGCTGCAAGTTATGACCATAAATATCGTTACTAATAGTACATTTGAAGTTTAAACCGCCATCAGTGACAACGTGAACAGAGTGGAATAAGCAACTCCTGAGCATTACTATGAAAAATGCTTTAACATGAAGAATCTCGGAAAGGGACTGAGATCTATAGGTCACACTACCTGAGGAAATGCAAATGCAATTACAGGGATTTACAAATACAGATCTGAGAATTCAGAACAATTTCAACTTTCTAAGCATACATCAAAAACTTCTTGAAAGAAAATAAAAAAGATAAACAATCAAATAACTGGAGAATAAAAGTTACTACAACCAGTTTAATTCAAATGCCCCTTCTAAATTTGGAATCACTGACTCAGAAGGATACAATATTTAATCTCTATAGAGATCCAAACACAAGAGTTAAAGTAGGGGACGGGGAGATGGCTCAGTAGAATAAGTGCTTCGCTGGCAAGCGTAAGGGCCTGAGCTCGATCCCCAGTTCCACAAAAAAAAAAAAAAAAAAAAGTTAAAGTAATAAAATTCAGGATATAGAAAACAAAATGTTCAATAATATTTTGACATGCAGTGTACCATTAACTGATTGTTTTTTAAAATTTATTTAATTCTCACATAATATACAAAGAGCAGACTGAAGAAACTTCTCATATTTATCAACAGCTATTTTCTAGCATATCTAGGTTTGTTTTATTTGATTTTTTGTTTGTTTGTTTGTTTGTTTGTTTGTTTTTGGCAGGCTCTGACTCCATAGTACAGGCTGGCCTTGAACTACACAGTCCAAGCAGGCCTCGAACTCAAGGTGATCCTCTTGACTCTGCCTCCCAAATGCTGGGATTATAGGCCTGTGCCATTACATCCAGTTGATCTACACTTAATGTTCACAATCACAGTACTAAAGAATACTAGTATTTCTAGCACAGCTGAGTTTAACACCTTCCTATCAACTTGAACCACCAGTACTACAAGCATGACTGTCCTACCAGGTAGCTTTTACACTGGCAATACAAATGGATCTAATCACTTTTATGAATCTTTTTACTAATTAACAAAAAGTCTATAAATGAACCAAATCTCGATGCCTGAATTTGAGTTACTTCCCAAATATAAATACTATTCATACAAATTTAAAAATTACAACACTGGGGCTGGGCAGATAGCTCGGTGGCCTAAGTGCCTGCCTGGCAAGCACAAAGATGCAGGTTCGATCCCTGGTGCTGCATGCCATGCCGGCCACGAAAACCAGGCGCTGTGGCACACACCTGTAATCCCAGCACTGGGGAGGCTGAGACAGGAGGATCACTACAAGTCCAAGCTGTGTAGCTAGACCCTGCACCAAATAAATAAACAAATAAAGATTTTTTAATTTTAATTGTAATACTTGAACACATTTCATTAAATTATATTTATGAATAACTTATCAATAATTAACTCTAATTTTTAACATAGGAATCTTACAAGTATCCCATTGCTAAGTATATATAATATACATCTACCATTGCTGTATCAAGTTATCTGATTACAATTTCTGTATCATTTTAATGCTTTCCTTAAGGAAATGTAATAGATCATTTGCTTTGCTAAATCAACTCTTTCTTTGCATTACTGTCATCAAAACACCCCATGAGTAGTACAAGGTACCAATTAGGAAAGTCATACATGTATCACTATGGTTCAAACCTGAGAAGGGAGACACGATCAAATTCAAATTCAAATTAGAGCCACAAAGACAGCCCTGTTGTGAATAGCACGTGCTAATGCCCACTAACACAGATTCAAAGAATTTTTAGTCTAGAATGTAACCTAGGTAGCTACATTCCTTCAACTCAATTCCTGAGAAAATTGAGTTTGTGGGAGAAAAATACTTAGGCAGTAGATGACACAACAAAGTACTCTTTACTCCCAATGCCATATTTTCACTGTGCCAAACTGAATGCCCAACCAAAGATAATTCACAAAATACGCAACCCAAATCAGAATGCCAACCAAGGCACACTACCTGTTAAATAAAAATTCTGTAAGGCTTGACAATACCAATATAATGTCAAAACAAGCAGTAAACAATTGTAAGGAAGTATCACAAATGTAACTGGTATATTAGAAAAATGAGTCCTCAACTTTAAAAACTATACTTTTCAATAAAGACCAATTTGAAAGATACTTTAATATCATTTAAGACTCACCTGCAGGACTGTCAGCATTCTCTCCTGGGTGTAGCTGTATACCAGTAGAATCTATAGAGTTTACAGTAACTGTCTGTAGATTTGGCAACTGACCAGTGCTTAGACTAACTGGAGTTGAAGTCAAGGTTCCACCTGCTGCAACTTGACCAAGCGTGAGTGTCTGAACAGGCGTCAAAGTTATTTGTTGGGCAGCAGTGTTCTGTATTTGCAAATTCTGCAAGTTCTGGACCCCTTGTACTTGAAACGTTTGCCAAGTTATCTGTCCAGAAGGGGTCACTGTCTGTGCCTGAATTAAAAAGGTTCCAGGATTCAGCTGCAATTGAAGATTTTGCAAAGCCTGTTGTGATATATTTTGACCACTAGCTTGCACACCATGGATTGTCTGTGGTGTAATACCTTGCACAATTTGGGCTTGACTGGTTGGCTGCTGAGACTCTTGAAGTTGTAGATGTTGTACAACAGGCTGTGCTGTAGAAACCTGAATATTCTGAGCCTGTGTCTCTTCAGAAACAGGCGACTGGATATAATTTCCCTGAAGATCTGAAGAATGAACTTGCCCACTAGAAGTAGTCAAGCTATTTGTGTTCTGTTGTAGGATACCTGTACTGTCTATTGTAACAGGCAACTGTGATGACGAGGATGTTGGCACAAATAAATCTGTATCAGTATTAGTTTCATTAATGTCAGGAGAAACCCTCTCACCAGTCCTTTCAGAATTGTCTGAACTATCCATAGCTTGTCCTGTGTTTATCAAATGTCCATCGGCATTAATGCCTGCAGTCATTGTCTGAGAACTGCCCGAAAGTCCCAAAGAATCTAGATCGACACTATTGATTGGTACAAAGGTAATATTTCCTGGCAGACCAAGAGGCACATTAGCAACTACCTGGGTTTGGCCAGGAAAAGATGAACCACCAATTGCAACTCCCTGAACCTGGACTTGACCAGTCTGTGGCATGAGATTCTGGATATTAGCAGGAGGTGTTCCAGAAGCAAGTAAGGTTTGATTAGAGCCAGGAATAATCTGAATTTGACTGCTTTCTTGATTTAAACCCCCATTATCTGAAGAGCCTGTGAAACCAATCTGAACCTGCTGACCATCTGTTGACTGAATTTGTGGTATTACTTGATATTGAACATTGGACACTGTACCATTTGATGAATCTGATCCTGGAGCAACTGAAAATATTTGTTGATTCTGCAAATTCTGAAGGGGAAGGACATACTGCCCACTCGAAGTAGCAGCACTTGGAATCTGTACTAGATTACCAGCTTCGTCTTTTATAGTTGTAGGTGTGGCTGACAAAACCTCCCATCGGTTTGGTGCTCCTCCTAACTGTGCAGAAGCCAAATCACCTGTCTGGATGAAAAAAACAAAAATGTTGTGATATATTTATGGTAGGTTTAAATCAATACTCAAAAAAACCCCTCTATACTAGTATAAATTCTACTAGATGAAAATGAAAGTTATCTTAAAATAACACATTGAATTAATTATCTCTTCTAGTTTTGTTAGTTACTGAAAAGACAGCCTGTCCTATTTAAATGGGGGGGGGAATATTAACCAGAACATTCTAGAATGTTATTTCATCGGGGTGTTTTTTTTTTTGAGACAGTCTCTCTATGCCCAGGTTGGTATTAAACACATGTGTTCTACCTTAAGACCCCTGAGTAGCTGGGTATGTAGGCATGTGTCACTGAGCCTGGCTGCACAAATTATGTTTCCTCAACAGCAATGCTGTACAGTTTTTTGCTATTGTTTTTGTCTACCTTTTTTGAGACAGGGTTTCACTATGCTGTTCAAGCTGGCCTCGAACTCACAGCAACCCTCCTGCCTCAGCTTCCAGAGTGTTAAGAGATTACAAACATGTGTCACCATGCCTCACATTGTATTTCTTAAAGGTATATAAGTAGTTGGAAGAGATTAACCTTACCTTCACTACTGGAGAGTTAAAAGTTATAAAACCCACTACAAATATATGATACACTGCATTTGTGAATAGAAAAGAAACACTGGTACAGTTACCAAGTTATTTGAGTTGGTATTATTACTGTAAACTTTAAACAAGGCTATTCTTTCATGGTGTGCATTAAATATATTATAGAATAAACTCCTAGCTAGAGCTATTCCATTAGCAAGCCACCACTCTTGTCTAATGAACTAAGAGAACCTAAAAAACGAGGAAACGTCACTGCCAAGACTACTTAGTAAAGCAACCTTATATGAAAAGTTCTTTGAGACTTTGAAAGTTGGAAGACATATACTGTGGTTTATTTATACACTGCAACAGAATACCAGGCACGAATGTCTTTATTCTGTATACTTCTGGAATCTCAGGTACCATCCCAACAGTTTATGGAATACCGACATTGGAAAAATTCCAATGTAGGAAAGCAGAAATCAAAATCCTATACATCAGTATCACATGGTAGTTTTAGGGATTAGTAGC